TCTTCTCAAACTGTCTTTAGCGTCTTTCCTCGTGGAAATTTCTAGACGGAAAAATACTCTTATATTGTAGAGCTAACTTTGTGTATAGAGTTGACGAACTATTAAACCTTTAACTCCAATCGTGGACAAGCTTCCACGCTGAATATTGCGAAACTGAAAAAAACTGATGCATTAGAGTACTCAAATTCTGTAAAATTCTTTGCTTGATTTCAAAAACGTACGCCTTAAACGTGCAAATTCAACACCATTCAGAAATACGGGCAACGCTCGACAATGAAGCTGTGTTGATAGCGTACTTAGAGCGATTTCGAAAGGGCCTGAAACATGCTAGTAAAAAGTCTGAAATGTAAAATTTTGTATTCAAACTCCTCACCTAAATCACACACTTCTTTTTTTAGTATAACACTGTGAACTAATATGGTATTCAGGGATATTCCGTGATCATACATCTATTCCGCGTTCTTATAAAGCCATTGCGTTCCGGATAGGCAGCACCCAACACATCTGATCCTAATCACACATGTATATCTATCACCGCGCAGCGCGTATTACGTCGCAAGCAGCCCTTGAAAAAGGTTCTAGTTTTAAACAAATAGGTAACCAGAAACCCCGTAGCCAATGTTTTTCAGTGTAAGGAAGTTACTCCTTCAAGCAACTTACCCATGAAGCAAAATGTTGTTCGATGACGCAAAACATTTCACATTAAAATTGACCTTTGTTGCGTTCTTCCTCGCTAAGGTTAAATACAAATTCTGGATTAAAAGTATTCTTTGACCCTGTAAGAGGAAAAGTAAAAGTATTCAAGCAGAGAGTCACGTGCAGATTTGTTCGATGGCAAGGTGATCATGAATCTGTGAACGATTAGAAAGGACTTCCATGTGCATTTCCAGGTGACATAGAACATTGCATATCTCGGATGATGGTCTGCTAACCAACTGCGCATGCTTACTGTTTTAAACTCGAAGAACGTTTGGATTTCTCAGCTATACATGCCACGTAGACCAGTGGGTTGTCTCGCTGACGCTCGGAAGTAATTGTGATTGGCAATTGTTTAGCAAGTATAAGCGAAGGTTTGAAAAACCCTGAGTTTCTATTGGTTAGTATAGACTTAGAATCGATAGATTGACAGGTACTTAGGTAGGGTCGAGAGCGATATCCTCTGTGGTTTAGTAAAACGCGCATTCAGAAACGCACATTCTATAATATTCAACGTCGAACTGAGGTGTCCTTTTAACAGTAGTGGAAATTTGTACTGCCTCTTATAACATGAAGATCCTGTTCGGTCTCGCCTTTCTGCTTTGTATTTCTATCGGTAAGTTAATTTTTTCCAGTTGTATCTGTTTCTTTTTGTTTAGACAAGGATAACGTTATTTTGTGTGTGCGTCCTTTGTCGTCTTTCTGTAAATAAATGGGTGTGGCACGCCATTTTGGTTACATTTTCCGAACCAATCGAACGAGCATTATCGTTTTCTTTTCTTCTCGCCTAATGATTTGGCTCGAAACTTAATATTAAATCATACCCTAGTATGCTGCTATTTTATTAGTCTGGAAACAGGTCTGGTTATGGTTTCAGTTTTCTACATTTAGGCAGGAAAAATATAACCGATATGTTAGGAATGATTTAGCACGGGAATAATACTGATCTTACAAAACGACAACGTCCTCTTTAACCTTCCTTCTTCCTGTAATTTTCTACACTAAAAGGTTCTCTATTAGGCCTAACTTTGTGCCCAATAAACTGTCGACGAACCTTTCTTCGATTGCAATCGGGGACAGGCGCCATCGTCGATGAGTATTGCGAGAAGGGATCGACGAATTAGAAAACTCCAATTCTGCAAAATTCTCTTCTCGATAACAAGAAACGCGGGACATAAACGTACAAAAAAGGAGCGCTCCAAAAAAATACAGGCAATGCGCCGTGATGCAATTTTGTTAATAGTAGAATTATAGGAAGGTTATGAAATATGCTGGCAAATATGAAAAGTGCTAATCTTAACTGCACACTTGAACTGTAAAAAAGTTTCAACGTTGAATGATGAGAACCAATATGTTATTCACTAATATTTTAGTACTGAGCCATCGCGTTTCGGATAGGCTGTATTAAGGATGTTCAATCATTAAAAATCCTCATCACGCATATTATCTTTATCACCTTGCACCGCGAACTGCGTCGCCCTGAGCAGTCCTTAAAAAACCTTTTAGTTTTGAACAAATACTTAACCACGAACACCGTCACCTTAGTTCGCTGCAAGGTAGTTACTACTTTAAAAAAAAAAAAATTTGAAAATTGACAGACATTTTTTTGGATTTCTTTCCTCCCTGTGGTTAAATTATGGATCTTGGCATAAAAGTACTCTTCCAACTCATGGGGGAACTGACGTAAACTCGTATTCAAGTAGAGAGTCGTGAAAATCTGTTTGGTGGCTAGGTGAATGTGTGAACGACACGATAATTATAAGTTAATTTAGTCCAGTTGTATCTGCTTCTTCCTGTTTAGGTAAACATGACGTTTCTTTTAATTGTATGCGTTCCTGTATCCTCTTTCTTTTCATAAACGGGCATCTTACTTCCATTATTCCGCCAAAGATTGTAAAAAAAGTCATTTCTTTTTTCCTCTAGCTTAAACAATTGGTTCGGAAACTTTACGTTGAATCATAGCTTATTGAGCTGGTATTTCATTCATCTGGAAATAGGTCTGGCTAGCTTTTAGCTTTTTTAGCATTTAAGCGAGAATAATTTAACCGGTGTGTTAAAAGCAACATAGCACGGTGACGGAACTCAAGGAACGTCAGCAGCCCTCTTGGACTGGCTTCCTGCCTTCTTGTTATTTTCTACACCAAAACGATCTAAATTTCAGTCTTAACTAAAGTGTTCACGAACATATCCCTCAATTCCAATCTATTACAGACGCGTTCGTCATTTAATATTTACGAGAAGGGATCAACACGCCACGAATTGGAAACTCCACTGTAAGATTCTTTCGATTGAAAGAAACAGAAGCTTAAACTTCAAAAAATAAAGCGCTCAGAAATAGGGCAACATGCATTTAATGCAGCTTTGTTGATACCGGACTAACTCGCGGCGAGGTTGCCAAGAATGTTATTGGCGAAATGTAAAATTCTATATTTAAGCTCCACGCCAAAATCGCACAAATCTTTTTGAGATGTGATCTAATACGACATTCATCTGTTCCGCTTTCTTATATTAAAAAAGCCCCCGCGTTCCGGATACTCACATCTAAAACATACGATCCCAGTCAAGCATACATTCATATTTATCTCCGCTCTGACCCGGCACGTATGGCTACGCCAGCAGTCCTAAAATGCCTTCGATCAGCTCCTAAAGAAATATTTAACCACAAACCTCATAGCTTCCGTTTTCCAGTGCAAGTATAGTTACCCCTTGAGGCAAAAGTTCTCTACCAAAATTTACATTTAAGACAGAGAACATTTGACTCTGCACCGTTACATTAAGTATATATAGTAGATCACTTCAGACCTTACCATTTATCAGTTGATCTCTCAGCTTGTTATGTCAGCTATATCTTAAGTATCACAGGAAATCCTTTCCAAATTTTGTCAGAAATCAATAAAATTCAGTCGGGTAAATGTTCCTTTAAAAAAAAAAACCCGTATGGAATCAAATGCATCTTAAAACGCTTAGGTTTTATGTAGCTTAGCTTGTTGTTACTTATTATTTCAAGTCAAAACCAAAGGCCACAGTGGCTTAAATTTCTGTACCTTTGAATACAGTCTTTGTACCATTTGTACCAGCAGGGTATTTTGTAGTGAAGGCGTTTTGTATCAGTCACCGCTAAAACGTTCCTCTCAATCAGTGTCTTTCTCGGCACTTTTATTTGGTCGTTTTCTTACAATGGCTCTAAAATGTTAGACAGTCACTTCCCTCTAAGTACTCGTTCATTATCTAATTAGATAAATTTAAAGAGGCAGGTCATCAACAACTTTTAGATATTTTGTTGCTGAAGGATAACACATCCACTATAATTTCACGCTTTAAACAATACTGAATTACTTATATGCTAATCATAGTATGATTAGTAGTATTTTTATTGTCAGTTTCTTCTTCCGTTTTTCCTCCTTCCATCTGTACATATCTCTAAATATTCGTTTCCTTTGAGTCTTATACCCACCTCGATTAGTTTCATTATTGCTGGTCAGCAATTCGTATAGTATCATCTACGGAAAGAAATAAATGTTTCCCTGTTGTTGTTGTGGCTGTTATTATGTTTTTTAGAGATTATTATATGCGGCTTGAGCCGCGCATGCGAAAGTACCGGAACTGGGCACTCAAAGGCCCATTCTTGATGCAATATGGTCCGCGTACATATATTCCGCGTTCTTATAACGCCACCACACATGTTCCGGGATAGCCAGCACTTCAGACAACCGATCCCAGTCACGCATATATACATTTCTCATCGCCAGCCAGCTCTTCAAACACTCTCTAGTCTTTAATAATGGATATTTTAACATAAACTACGTAACCACTGTTTCTCATTGTGAGAAATTTACTCATAAAACAAAATCATGTGATGATTGATCGATGACGCAAAACATTTCTTAAGTGAATAATGCGAAAAAAACTTCTATGTGCAGCCGTAAGTGACGTGGCACATTGCATATTATGATCCCGGACAATTCTAGCAACCAACTGCACATGCATACTTACGAACTTCCATTTAAAAAATTTGGATTTTTCAGCTCAATAAAGTGAATAGTGGGCTGCGACTCTGACGCTTGCAAATTATTATGATTGGCACGTGTTAATCAAATATAGTGGCAGCTAGATAAAATCCTAAGCTTTTATTGGTTAGTATAGACTGAAAATCGATAGATTGACAGTTACTTAAGTAGGGTGGAGGGCGATATCTTCTGTAGTTTAGTAAAACGCGCATTCAGAGACGCACTTTCTTTAATATTCATCGTCCACCTGAGGTATCCTTTCAGCAGTAGTGGAAAGTTGTACTGCCGCTTACAAAAATGAAGATCCTGTTCGGCCTCACCTTTCTTCTTTGCATTTCAGTCGGTAAGTCAATTTAGTCCCGTTTGTATTTGTTTCTTCTTGTAAGGTGAGAATAAGGCTTTAGGAACTTCGCTCTACAGCTTCTCGTCGTTCCCTCTGTTAGCGGCGTGCTTGATCTTCTTTCCCTGAATAAAGGTCCAGTGGGGTTCGCCATCTAGCTATCACTATTCGCACAAATCGGACAAACATTATTGTAATTTTCTCTCAATTTATGATTTGATTCGGTGCCTTAAAAGTCATAACTCTCATAGTCTACTAAACCAGTATTTTACTAAACTGGAACTCGTTAGCTTTCAGTTTTTTGCATTTAAGCGCAAATAATTTAACGGGTGTGTTAGGAATGATTTAGCTCGGGAATGATACTGATCTTACAAAACGACAACGTCCTCTTTAACCTTCCTTCTTCCTGTAATTTTCTACTTTAAAAGGTTCTCTATTAGGCCTAACTTTGTGCCCAATAAACTGTCGACGAACCTTTCTTCGATTGCAATCGGGGACAGGCGCCATCGTCGATGAGTATTGCGAGAAGGGATCGACGAATTAGAAAACTCCAATTCTGCAAAATTCTCTTCTCGATAACAAGAAACGCAGGACATAAACGTTCAAAAAAGGAGCGCTCAAAAAAAATACAGGCAATGTGCCGTGATGCAATTTTGTTAATAGTAGAATTATAGGAAGGTTATGAAATATGCTGGCAAATATGAAAAGTGCTAATCTTAACTGCACACTTGAACTGTGAAAAAGTTTCAACGTTGAATGATGAGAACCAATATGTTATTCACTAATATTTTAGTACTGAGCCTCCGCGTTTCGGATAGGCTGTATTAAGGATGTTCAATCATTAAAAATCCTCATCACGCATATTATCTTTATCACTTTGCACCGCGAACTGCGTCGCCCTGAGCAGTCCTTAAAAAACCTTTTAGTTTTGAACAAATACTTAACCACGAACACCGTCACCTTGGAGTACCGCTGCAAGGTAGTTAATACTTTAAAAAAATTACTCCATGAAGCAAAAGTAGTTCGATCGATCACGCAAAACATCAAGTTACATTAAGATTGACAGACATTTTTTTGGATTTCTTTCCTCCCTGTGGTTAAATTATGGATCTTGGCATAAAAGTACTCTTCCAACTCATGGGGGAACTGACGTAAACTCGTATTCAAGCAGAGAGTCGTGAAAATCTGTTTGGTGGCTAGGTGAATGTGTGAACGACACGATAATTATAAGTTAATTTAGTCCAGTTGTATCTGCTTCTTCCTGTTTAGGTAAAGATAACGTTTCTTTTAATTGTATGCGTTCCTGTATCCTCTTTCTTTTCATAAACAGGCATCTTACTTCCATTTTTCCGCCAAAGATTGTAAAAAAGTCATTGCTTTTTTCCTCTAGCTTAAACAATTGTTTCGGAAACTTTACGTTGAATCATAGCTTATTGAGCTGGTATTTCATTCATCTGGAAATAGGTCTGGCTAGCTTTTAGTTTTTTTTTTAGCATTTAAGCGAGAATAATTTAACCGGTGTGTTAAAAGTAACATAGCACGGTGACGGAACTTAAGAAACGTCAGCAGCCCTCTTGGACTGGCTTCCTGCCTTCTTGTTATTTTCTACACCAAAACGATCTAAATTTCAGTCTTAACTAGAGTGTTCACGATCGATTACAGACGCGTTCGTCATTTAATATTTACGAGAAGGGATCAACACGCCACGAATTAGAAACTTCACTGTAAGATTCTTTCGACTGAAAGAAACACAAGCTTAAACTTCAAAAAATAAAGCGCTCAGAAATAGGGCAACACGCATTTAATGCAGCTGTGTTGATACCGGACTAACTCGCGGCGGGGTTGCCAAGAATGTTATTGGTAAAATGTAAAATTCTATATTTAAGCTCCACGCCAAAATCGCACAAATCTTTTTGAGATGTGATCTAATACGACATTCATCTGTTCCGCTTTCTCATATTAAAAAGCTCCCGCGTTCCGGCACACCTAAAACATACGATCCCAGTCAAGCATACATTCATATTTATCTCCGCTCTGACCCGGCACGTATGGCTACGCCAGCAGTCCTAAAATGCCTTCGATCAGCTCCTAAAGAAATATTTAACCACAAACCTCATAGCTTATTTTCTACACCAAAACGATCTAAATTTCAGTCTTAACTAGAGTGTTCACGATCGATTACAGACGCGTTCGTCATTTAATATTCACGAGAAGGGATCAACACGCCACGAATTAGAAACTCCACTGTAAGATTCTTTCGATTGAAAGAAACACAAGCTTAAACTTCAAAAAATAAAGCGCTCAGAAATAGGGCAACACGCATTTAATGCAGCTGTGTTGATACCGGACTAACTCGCGGCGGGGTTGCCAAGAATGTTATTGGTAAAATGTAAAATTCTTTATTTAAGCTCCACGCCAAAATCGCACAAATCTTTTTTAGCCTGCGCGCAGACGAAATTAAACTCTGGTTAACTCCGTCTGCGAAACAGCGCCGAAATCCTTGTTCTGGACTTCCAGCTGTGTACCCAGATTTGAGTACGCACCACGATTGGCCAGTTAAAAAAGACTTTTGTTTTGTTTGTCGCAAGACTGGTAATAGCCAATCAGGTTGAAGCGAAATTCGAAACGCACTTCCGGTAATTCGTTGAGTCGGGTGGAGGTCCAGAGCAAGGATCTCTGCGCTGCTTCGCAGACGGTACTAATCAGAGTTTAGTTATCGTCTGCACGCAGGCTAATCTTTTTGAGATGTGATCTAATACGACATTCATCTGTTCCGCTTTCTCATATTAAAAAGCTCCCGCGTTCCGGCACATTCATATTTATCTCCGCTCTGACCCGGCACGTATGGCTACGCCAGCAGTCCTAAAATGCCTTCGATCAGCTCTTAAAGAAATATTTAACCACAAACCTCATAGCTTCCGTTTTCCAGTGTAAGTATAGTTACCCCTTGAGGCAAAAGTTCTCTACCAAAATTTACATTTAAGACAGAGAACATTTGACTCTGCACCGTTACATTAAGTATATATAGTAGATCACTTCAGACCTTACCATTTATCAGTTGATCTCTTAGCTTGTTATGTCAGCTATATTTTAAGTATCACAGGAAATCCTTTCCAAATTTTGTTAGAAATCAATAAAATTCAGTCGGGTAAATGTTCCTTTAAAAAAAAACCCGTATGGAATCAAATGCATCTTAAAACGCTTAGGTTTTATGTAGCTTAGCTTGTTGTTACTTATTATTTCAAGTCAAAACCAAAGGCCACAGTGGCTTAAATTTCTGTACCTTTGAATAGAGTCTTTGTACCAGGGTATTTTGTAGTGAAGGCGTTTTGTATCAGTCAACGCTAAAACGTTCCTCTCAATCAGTGTCTTTCTCGGCACTTTTATTTGGTCGTTTTCTTACAATGGCTCTAAAATGTTCAACAGTCACTTCCCTCTAAGTACTCGTTCATTATCTAATTAGATAAATTTAAAGAGGCAGGTCATCAACAACTTTTAGATATTTTGTTGCTGAAGGATAACTCATCCACTATAATTTCACGCTTTAAACAATACTGAATTACTTATATGCTAATCATAGTATGATTAGTAGTATTTTTATTGTTAGTTTCTTCTTCCGTTTTTCTTCCTTCCATCTGTACATATTTCTAAATATTCGTTTCCTTTGATTCTTACCCACCTCGATTAGTTTCATTATTGCTGGTCAGCAATTCGTATAGTATCATCTACGGAAAGAAATAAATGTTTCCCTGTTGTTGTTGTGGCTGTTATTATGTTTTTTAGAGATTATCATATGCGGCTTGAGCCGCGCATGCGAAAGTAGGGATACACTTGTACATTGAACATCCGGGCAGAAAAAAGACGACCGGAACTGGGCACTCAAAGGCCCATCCTTGATGAAATATGGTTCGCGTAGATATATTCCGCGTTCTTATAACGCCACCGCACATGTTCCGGGATAGCCAGCACTTCAGACAACCGATCCCAGTCACGCATATACATTTCTTATCGCCAGCCAGCTCTTCAAACACTCTCTAGTCTTTAATCATGGATATTTTAACATAAACTACGTAACCACTGTTTCTCATTGTGAACAATTTACTCACAAAACAAAATCATGTGATGATTGATCGATGACGCAAAACATTTCTTAATTGAATAATGCGAAAAAGACTTCTATGTGCAGCCGTAAGTGACGTGGCACATTGCATATTATGATCGAGGACAATTCTAGCAACCAACTGCACATGCATACTTACGAACTTCAATTCAAAAAAATTTGGATTTTTCAGCTCAATAAAGTGAATAGTGGGCTGCGACTCTGACGCTTGCAAATTATTATGATTGGCACGTGTTAATCAAATATAGTGGCAGCTAGATAAAATCCTAAGCTTTTATTGGTTAGTATAGACTTAAAATCGATAGATTGACAAATAGTTAAGTAGGGTTGAGGGCGATATCTTCTGTAGTTTAGTAAAACGCGCATTCAGAGACGCACTTTCTTTAATATTCATCGTCCACCTGAGGTATCCTTTCAGCAGTAGTGGAAAGTTGTACTGCGGCTTACAAAATGAAGATCCTGTTCGGTCTCGCCTTTCTCCTTTACATTTCAGTCAGTAAGTTAAGTTAGTCCCGTTTGTATTTGTTTCTTCTTGTAAGGTGAGAATAAGGCTTTAAGAACTTCGCTCTACAGCTTCTCGTCGTTCCCTCTGTTAGCGGCGTGCTTGATCTTCTTTCTCTGAATAAAGGAGTGGGGCTCGCCATCTTGCTGTCACTATTCGCACAAATCGGACAAACATCTTTGCTATTTTCTCTCAATTTATGATTTGTTTCGGTGCTTTAAACGTCATAACGCTCATAGTCTATTAAGCCAGTATTTTACTAAACTGGAACTAGGTCTCGTTAGCTTTCAGTTGTTTGCATTGAAGTGCAAATAATTTAACTGGTGTGTTAGGAATGATTTAGCAAGGTTATTATACCAACATCTTCTCAAACTGTCTTTAGCGTCTCTCCTCGTGGAAATTTCTAGACGGAAAAATACTCTATATTGTAGAGGTAACTTTGTGTATAGCGTTGACGAACTATTAAACTTTTAATTCCAATCGTGGACAAGCTTCCACCCTGAATATTGCGAAACTGAAAAAATTGATGGATTAGAGTACTCAAATTCTGTAAGATTCTTTGCTTGATTTTAAAAACGTACTTCCTAAACTTGCAAATAAAACACCATTCCAGAAATACCGGCAACGCTCGACAATGAAGCTGTGTTGATAGCGTACTTAGAGCGATTTCGAAAGGGCCTGAAACATGCTAGTAAAAAGTCTGAAATGTAAAATTTTGTATTCAAACTCCTCTCCTAAATTGCACACATCTTTTTTTAGTATAATACTGTGAACTAATATGATATTCAGGAATATTCCCTGATCATACATCTATTCCGCGTTCTTATAAAGCCTTTGCGTTCCGGATAGGCAGCACCCAACACATCTGATCCTAATCTATTACTGCGCAGCGCGTATTACGTCGAACAAGCAGCCCTTGAAAAATGTTCTAGTTTTAAACAAATAGGTAACCAGAAACCCCGTAGCCACTGTTTTCAGTCTAAGGAAGTTACTCCTTCAAAACAATTTACCCATGAAGCAAAATGTTGTTCGATCGATGACGCAAAACATCTGACATTATAATTGACATTTGTTGCGTGTCTTGCCCGCTAAGGTTAAATACAAATTCTGGATTAAAAGTATTCTTTGACCTTTAAGAGGAAAAGTAAAAGTATTCAAGCAGAGAGTCACGTACAAATTTGTTCGGTGGCAAGGTGATGATGAATCGGTGAACGATACGAAAGGACTTCCATGTTTCATTTCCATTGCATATGTTGGATGATGGTCTGCTAACCAACTGCGCATGTTTACTGTCTTAAATTCGAAAAAAGTTTGGGTTTTTCAGCTATACATGTAGACTAGTGGGTTGTCTCGCTGACGCTCGGAAGAAATTATGATTGGCAAATGTTAAGCAAACATAAGTGGCAGTTTGAAAAACCCTGAGTTTCTATTGGTTTGTATGGACTTAGAATCGATAGATTGACAAGTACTTAGGTAGGGTCGAGAGCAATATCTTCTGTAGTTTAGTAAAACTTGTATTCAGAGACGCACATTCTATAATATTCATCGTCCAATTGAGGTGTCCTTTTAGCAGTAGTGGAAAGTTGTACTGCCGCTTATAACATGAAGATCCTGTTCGGTCTCGCCTTTCTTCTTTGCATTTCAGTCGGTAAGTTAATTTATTTCAGTTGTATCTGTTTCTTCCTGGCTAGACAAGGATAACGTTTTTCTGTGTGCGTTCTTTATCTTCTTTCTCTGAATAAATGGGTGTGGTGAGCCATCTTGCTTACAGTTTCCGAACCAATTGAACAAACATCATCGTTTTTTTCCCCTCGCCTAATGATTTGGCTCAAAACTTAATATTAAATCATACCCTAGTGTGCTGCTATTTTATTAGTCTGGAAATAGGTCTGGTTATACTTTCAGTTTTCTACATTTAGGCACGAAAAATATAGCCGATATGTTAGGAATGATTTAGCACGGGAATCATACTGATCGTACAAAACTGCAACATCCTCTTTAACGTTCATTCCTCCTGTAATTTTCTACACCAAATGGTATGTTCTCTATTAGGCCTATCTTTGTGCCCAATTAACTGTCGACGAACCTTTCTTCAAATGCAATCGGGGACAGGCGCCATCGTCGATGAGTATTGCGAGAAGGGATCGACGAATTAGAAAACTCCAATGCTGCAAAATTCTTCTCGATAACTAGAAACGCTTGACAAACGTCCAAAAAAGGAGCGCTCAAAGAAAAACAATACAAGCAATGTACAACAATGCAGCTTTGTTGACAGCAGAAGTATGGCAAGATTAAGAAATATGCTGGCAGATATAAAAAGTGCTATATTAACTGCACGCCTAATTCGCAGGAAACGTTTCTGCAGTTGGATGATGAACCAATATGTTATTCACTAATATTTCAATCCTGGCATATACATCTACTCCCCGTTCTTATAAAGACCCGCGATCACGATAGGCTGTATCAAAGATATTCAGTCATTAAAAATCTTAATCACGTATAATGTCTGGGTAGCCAGCAGTCCTTAAAAAACTTTCTAGTTTTGAACAAATACTTAACAACGAACCCCTTCACCTTAGCAATGCAAGGTAGTTACTACTTTAAAAAATTTACTCCATGGAGAAAAAGTAGTTACATTAAAATTTATATTTTGTTGGATTTGGATCTTGGCATAAAAGTATTCTTCGACCTTTGGGAGGAACTGAGGAAAAGAATTGAAGCAGAGAGTCGTGCAATTTTGGTGGCTAGGTGAATGTGTGAACGACACGCAAGGAATTCCATGTGCATTGCTAGGTGACGTAGAACATCGCGTTTCTCAAATAATAAGCTACTTCAGAAGGATAGTGGGTGGCATCCTTTGTAGTTCTAATACGCTCATTAAGAGACTCACATTTATAATATTCAGCCCCCACAGCAAATGAAATTTTTTCCGCGAAAGATTGTTAAAAAAATCATTGCTTTTTTCCTCTCGCTTAAAGAATTGGTTTGGAAACTTAACGTTGAATCATAGGTTATTGAACTGGTATTTATTAAACTGGAAATAGGTCTGGTAAGCTTTCATTTTTTTTGCATTTAGGCGAGAACAATTTAACGGGTGTGTTAAAAACAATTTAGCTTGGTAATAAAATACGGGACTTACGAGACGTCTACAGCCCTCTTGGACTGGCTTCTTGTCTTCATGTTATTTTCTACACTAAATCGTATTCACTTTTAGGCGTAACTTTGAGTTAATTGTTCACGAACATACCCTTCAATTCTGATCAGTTACAGGTGCGTTCGAACATTATGAGAAGGGATGAACGCGCCACGAATTATAAAAACCAATTCTGTAAGACTTTTTTTTTATTGAAAAAAAAAAACTTAAACTTCGAAATATAAAGCGCTCAGAAATATTGACAACACGCAACAATGCAAAATTCATACTTTACTAAAAGCAGGGTGAAGAATGTTGGTGAAATAACTGCAAAATTCATATTTGAGCTCCACGCCTAAATCGTATAAATCTTTCCGAGATTGCTTATGTGATCTAATATGACATTCACCTGCTTTGCTTTCTTATGAAGGCCACCTCGTTCTGGATAGCTAGCACCCAAGTACACACACGGCACGTATTGTTTCGCCAGCAGTCCTAAAATGCTGTCGATCAACTCTTAAATAAGTATTTAACCACAAACCACGAAGCCTCTGTTTTGCAGTGTAAGGTAGTTATTCCTTGAGGCAGAAGATCTCTAGGAAAATTTACAGTACAAAAGAAAACATTTTACTTTGCATTGTTACCGTAAGCCAGATCCGTTCAGGCCTCGCCATTTATCAGTTGATTTCACAGCTCGTTTACACAATATAATTCCCAAGTATGACAGGAAATCTTTTCCATATTTTATCCGAAATCGTTTAGGATTTGTGTAGCTTGTTGTTACTTAATATTCCATGTCAAAACCAAAGGCCACAGTGGCTAAAATTTTTGTCCCTTTGAACGAAGTGTTTGTACCAGGATACCAGGGTATTCTGTAGTTAAGGCGTTTTGTATGCCCTTTGAAACTGTCTCTCATTGTGGGTTTCTCTGCTCTCGTTTTCTTACGCTACCTCTAAAATATAGAACAGGATTCCTCTAAGTATTCGTTTATAATCTAATGAGATAAATTCAACGAGGCAGTTCATCAACAATTTTTAGATATATTTTGTTGATAGAGGGTGACTATGATGACACACCAAGTACAATTTCAAGCTTTAACCAAAATGAATTAAGAAACTTACTAATCATGATATGATCAAGTATTATGTTTGAAAGTTTACACCAGTCTCTAATTATAAATACCTGTGAAGAATTTTTATTTGAGTCTGACACACCTCGGTTAGTTTCATCATTGCTTTTTTCTGGTCAGCACTTGGTGTAATATTATTTGCAGAAAGAAGTAAATGTTGTTTTTGTTGTTGCTGTGGTTGTTAGTATGTTTTTACTAGACTATTATGGCACTCTCTTTTCCTGTAGTATTTTTGATACAAGTTCATAATGATTTTCGTGATTTGTACACCTACACTCATTTTTACATTAAACCTCCGGTCAGAAAAAAGATGACCGGAACTGGGCACTCAAAGGCCCAACCTTAATGAAATGTGGTCCGAGTACATATATTCCGCGTTCTTATAACGCCACCGCAAGTGTTCCAGGATAGCCAGCACTTCAGACAACCGATCCCAGTCACGCATATATATTTCTCATCGCTAGCCAGCTCCTTAGACACCCTCTATTCTTTCATAATAGATATTTGAACATAAACTACGTAGCCACTGTTTTTCATTGTGAAAAAGAATTCACTCATAAAACAAAATGATGTTTGATCGATTACGCAAAATATTTCCCAGGGAAGAAGACTCTGTCAATAACGCGTAAAAAAAATTCTATGTGCAACCAATTGCGCATGCTTACGAAATTAAATTAGAAAAATTTTTCAGCCCTATAAAAAGATTAGTGGGCTGCCTAGCTGTCGCTTGCAAGTGATTATGATGGGCAAGTGTCAATCAAATATAGTGGCAGCTAAATAAAGAGTTGCCCTTTTATTGGTTAGTATAGACTTAAAATCGATAGATTGACAATTACTTAAGTGGGGAAGTGGGCGATATCCTATACTCCTCCGTTTAGTAAAACGCGCATTCAGAGACGCACATTCTTTAACATTCATCGTCCACTTGAGGTGTTCTTTTAGCCAGCAGTGGAAAGTTGTACTACTTCTTATAACATGAAGATCCTGTTCGGTCTTGCCTTTCTTCTTTGCATTTCAGTCGGTAAGTTAATTTGTATGTTTCTTCCTGTTTAGACAAGGATAATGTTTCGTGTCAGTGTGCGTTCTTTATCTTATTTCTCTGAATAAATGGGTGTGGCGCGCCATCTTGCTCATATTTTCCGAACCAATCGGACAAACATCATCATTATTCCCTCTGGCCTAATGATTTGGTTCGGAACCTAATGTTAAATCATAGTGTAATAAGCTGGTATTTTATTAGTCTTGAAATAAGTCCGTTAGCCTTCATTCTTTTGCATTTAGGGGCAAAAAATTTAACGGGTGTGTTAGGAATGATTTAGCTTGGTAATAATGACTCGGAAATTTGGAATCCTCGGCATCCTCTTCGACCTTCTGTTCTTCCTGTTATTTTCTATACCAAAAGCTACTCTCTTTTTGCCGTAACTTTGTGTTAAGTGTTCACGAACATATCAAATCGTGGACAGATGCGTTGCTTTTGATGAATATCACGAGAATGGGTCAACGAACTGGAAACTCACATTCTTTTGTCGATTAAAAGAAACGCAAGGCTTAAATAAGCTTCCGAATGTAAGCGCTCAGAAACAGGGCAACAAGCAACTGATACCACATTTAGAAGAGGGTTGCAAAAAATGCTGGTGAAATTAACGTGAAATTTCATATTTTACTGAACTCCAAGCCTAAATCGCTCATCTTTTCGTAGTTTGAATGATGCGAACTAATAGAACATTTACTAAATATTTACTGATATATTAAGGGGTTGGGCGTGACATCTTGCTTACATTTTCCGCGCAAATCAGACAAACTTCATGGTTATTTCCCTCCCGCTCCAGGTATGATCAGTTGATGAGGAACTTAACGGTAAATCATAGTCTAATAAGCTAGAATTCTATTAGACTGGAAATAGGTCTAGTTAGCTTTCAGTATTTGCATAGTTCTACGTTTGGACAAGGCCTGAGAGCGATTGCAAAAGGCCTCCAAAAAATACCAGTGAAATGCAGATTTTTATATTTAAACTCCACGTCTATATATCCTACGTATACAAACCTTTTCGTAGTGGGATACCGTAAACTAATATGATCCCTGGTTTCACTACTATATACATATTTTCCGCATTCTTATTAAGCCGCTAAGTCCTGAATAGCCAGTAACTAAGACTGACATCCGTCCCTTAAGTCACGCATATACACCTAATGTTTTTTGGAGCCGGGTAATTGGCTCTGATTTTCTAAAATACCCGTTTTAGTCTTGCTTGGCAAGTACTTAAGATAATGCTCTCTTGGTTTACGTAAAAGCGCATTCAGTTTCGCACTTTCCAAAATATTCTGGTCCGTGTTTTAATAACAACGGTGGAGAATTGTTTTGTAGCATAGAAGATGAATATCCTGTTTGGCCTTGCTTTTTTATTTGCTTTTCAATCGAGAAGTTATTTGAGGTCAGTTTTATCTGTTTATTTTATTATTATTATTATTTTTTTTTTTTTACGTAAAGATAATGCTAAAGGAATATCGCTCTGTGGTCTAAGTAGTCTTCTGTCTTTGAATGAAGGAGTAGGGTGCTAGTCTAATAATATAAGGATAGTATTGCATTAGCTCTTGATCTGAAATACCCGCTCTAGTCCTGATTGCCATGTACTTAAGCTCAGGTAGAGTCGTGAATAATGATCTGTCGATTTAGGTAAAACGCCCACTCAGAGACCGCACTGTGGAGAATTGTATTGTAGCTTAGAAATTGAATATCCTGTTTGGTCTTTATACGTTTTCCCTTTGCTTTTCAATGGAGAAGTTATTTAAATCTTGTTATATCTGTTTCTTTTGATTAATTTCCTTCTATGTAAGAGTAATCCCAAAGAAATTTCGCTCTGTTAGCTAGGGTCTTTTTTCTCTGAATAAAGGAGTGGGGATCGAGCTCCATATTGTTTACGTTTTCTTTCCCACGAATTAGACTAGCGCTGTCTTAGGTACTTTGCAATTCTCCATGAAACAGGTTGAAGCTGTCGGGAGATAACAGGAAATAATCTGTTATTTAAAATGTCTTTTTCGGCACTGTATTGCGCAAAGACGACAGTTGAAAATTCTTTTTAAATTTTCCTGTTTAAGGTTTTAGCAACGCCTTCAAGTCTGACCGGGTATTGACATCGGGTGACATCACTTGTAAAATTAAAGGTCGGAAGCAAAGCTACCACACTTGGGCATCTGACCCTGGCTAAATTCTATTATTTTTTGTTGCAAACTCCCTTAAACTCTTGGCGTTTCTCTGCGAAACCGTCTCTTTCACCAGTTTTGTCAAACACTCGGCCAACCTAAAAACAGACGGGGACTTACATTAACTTTTCTTCTCGAAAATTTATCCAAATAGAAAAAAAAACCTGTTGGGACAGAACACTACGCTATAGATATAAGCGGCGAGTTTAGTCCAAGTTTTCGCGAGGTATATAGTCTCACAGGTTACCACAAATCAACTGCTGTGCTTGATAAGTTCTTTTCAAACCTACTTTAGCATCTTAAAAAGCTTCCTGCACAAAATTACATCGCTTGACCGTCATAAACATTTGCATTGTCACTGAAGTACCATGCGATTCCCTTCTTCACACGATGACAAAAGAAATACTAAAATACTTTTTGATGGAAGAGTTCAGTGTGTCAGCCCTCTTTAGGAACAGGCTCATAGTATTTTTCTTTTTTCTTCCAGGTTATGCCCTGAAATGCAACGAATGTTTCTCTCTTAAGAGCTGGGATGACTGCAAAAACAAGACAAAAGTGGTAACCTGCTTGGACAGTCAGGACCGTTGTGGCAAAGCTGATATCAAAGCTGAGAGTTCAGGCGTGACAGGTGAAGTCTTTGTCAAAGGATGTGCCACTTCATCTGAATGCAGCGAGAAGAATTGCAAAAAGTTCTCCCCCTCAGGGAAAATCACCAAATGCGAAGTCGAGTGCTGTAAAGGTGACCTGTGCAATGGAGCCCAAGTACCAATGGTCAGCGCTATCATGATGTTGGCATGCGCTATCGTAGGTTTTGCTCGTTAAAGTTCGTGATAAAGAGCCTGAATGTAGCCCTTTGTCGAAAAAGAAGTAAGATGCATATGTTTTAAATGGGCATGTAATTTTTTTTTGTAATGTAGCGTTTTTTTCTTAAGGCTGTTGTTAATTTTAAATCCATCTTGATTACTAACAGATTTACATGTATATCACGAGTGTTTATCTGAAGGTCAGCTTGATAAAAAAAAATTCAGTTTTTGTAATGCATGGAAATAAAGAATGTCATTTCTTTTATCTACTGACGCTGTCTTATAGTTTAAGGGATACAAATATTCAGTATAAGAAAATTCAGATATAACTCGGACTTTGTTTGGTTGACAAAACGTACTTTATGAGAGTATAAAACTCGGAGCTGAAGCTGTCACGCCATATGCCAATAGTTTGTTTTGAAAATTAGAAAGCAACGCGTGGAGATTTTGTCGGGTTCTTTATCATATAACAAATATAGAAGCTTTGACTGTGCTCTGTTTTGTTGTAAAGTTCTTGGGAAGCGGCTAGTAAGAGCACTCAAGACGTAGGGAGAAACACTCGACAACTTCTAGTGTTTCCCCTACACTTTCTTCGTGCTCTAGCCGTTTCCCGTGTGCTTTACAACAGAACAAAGCACAGTCAAAGCTTCTATATTTGTTATATGATAAAGAAAAAAAGGGTGAATTGAGATAGAAATATAATTAATGTTGAATTTGCTTTGAAAAACATTTTCCGCGACCAGCTTTGAGGTAGAATAAGACCCGAGAACGAATTTAGACGAGCAAAAACAAGCTATTTGTTTTCTGAGGACCTAACGTGGCTACCGCGTGATGAGGCTCTATATGATGACATTCACTTAATAAATCTTCCGGTCAGTCATCGATCATAACTTTCAGCCTTTTTTTTCGAGTTGAATCGTTGTTGGCAAATAATATTCCTCATACAAATCTTTCTCCTATTCAGTAACTCTTTCCCCAAACTGATACACACAAAACTAATATTGGCGGAATATGATGCAGACGTTTTAAGTAAGCCGCCATCCTGTCTGGTCTTTAAGGTGGCTCGACCAGGTTTTTCAGTTACCATACCTACTCTCACTGAAAATGAAATAAAATGATGCCCTCAAAAGAAGCAGGCTTGAGGCTTGAGGACTTCTTAGCATGCCTCGGTACCATTTCGGTCCCCTCCTAAAGTATGGGAAATTCGATTTGTTACTCATAAGTATTTGATTCACCCTTGACACTTTATATTTTCAGTACCAGTTTTAAAATTTGTTTTTAAATTGCTACCTCTTGGGGTAAAAAGTTGTTTCAGCCACGCCCACAAATGGTCTCAAAGATTCTGGTACGTATATAGGTTATGAGCTTGAAATGGTGTTCAAATTTACTGACAACTATTTCCATCATTTTAAAGGGCACCTCTGCCACGGCCCAAAGCCGGTTCTCGGGCGTCTGATTTGCCCAACCACGTGCGGGGTGGGGGTGGGAGGTATGGCGTCAGATCGGGGACATAATCGATAGCCACATTTCATGGCCTTGGAAACAATTCTTCGCTTGGAAAATTGTTCTTCGAGTTATATTGTTATTGCCAATTATCTTCGTAGCGTCGGTTTCATTAGTCTTCGAGACGTGGTGTCCTTCGTTCGTGTCATCGTACTATCTTCTGCGGGACACCGCTAGCCTTTATTCGTGTCGTCAATCCCTTTCGATAGTTGTTACGTCGTTGCGTCGTTTCGTCCGTTTTTCCTTTCGTCGACTTCGCTACATGTCTAGTTTCGAGCTTTGCATTTCTTTTAACTGCTGTAACCGCACCATCTTCTTATGAATAAAGTAAATCACAACACCAGAATGTTTTGTCGACATTTTCACAGCCATAAAATGCAGCTGTTAGTCCTTTTGGGCATTTTTACAGACCGAAATGAAAGATTCCTCTACACTTTCTTATACTTCAACAAGTAAAATCCGTACCCTTTCATATACCTGACGCCTGAAAAAGTAACCCATTTCGGGTGGTGTATCCCCATAAAGTCCATTATAGGGAGTACCTTCCTCCCCCGAGTACATAATTTAGTACATAAAAACTGGATTGTATAAATTACAATTTACCCACGCCAATATGCTCGCCATGGGCATTCTACAGTGCACGCATTGATTTATTTAATGAGAAGCACAAGAAGCTATTGATTCAGGAAACTGTTTTCTCCGGATATTTTTTGCAGATTTTGCTAAATGTTTTGATATCATGGACCACTCTTTTAATGTCGATCAACTCTGTTTTTTTTTGATACGCTGCTTTCTTACCAAGCGATCACAAGCAGTGCGCATCGGCTCCTCTCTGTCGTCATGGAAACAAGTCAACGGTGGCAACCCACAGGGAAAAAAATCTCGGATTAACGCTCTTTACTGTCATGGTAATGTCGATGACACTACTGCATTCGAGATTATCCCAAGAAACTCTTTTAGTATGCTAGATGTAGTTGTCAGAGAAATCCATGACTATTGTATTGAAAAAAAGACTAAAACTAAATCCCAAAAAATGTAGAGAAATTTACGTAAATTTCATGAAGAATTCGATTACTGCAATGCGACCTATAAGTGTTGGAAATCAAGGCGTTGAGCGAGTAGGGTCGTATAAGCTTTTAAGAGTTATAATTAGCAATGACCTTAAATGGAAAGCTCACGTTGAATACGTAACTGACAAGGCGGCTAAGAGCGCTCTTCGTTAGGTTCTTGAAACGCGCAGGAGTCATGCCAGAAGACATGCTCAAGGTATACACATACTATAACATCAGATCGGTCTTAGAGTATGCTGGGCAAGTATGGCAAGATATTCCTGCATACCTTTCTGATGCTATTGTAGCCTGCGTAGCAGGCGTCGAAAGGGGTAGGGGATAGGGAAAAAGGGAAAAGAAGAGCCTTAAGAACAATATTTCCAAACTCTAGCTATCAACAAGCTCTAGACCAAGCAAATTTGACATCGTTAGCAGATCGCAGGATATTCATATGTAAGAAGTTGAAGGCGGATATGAGGAATGACAGCCACCCCATATCTTTCTTAGCTCGGCAAGTTATGACAAGATCTATCCTATATCAGTTAAGATCGGGAAATACTAAAACCACTACAACAATAAACGAAAAAAGCAAAGAGAGCAAATGACCTTTTTACTGTTAGGTTTTCTTGATTCCAGTTATTATTGTAACACTTATTATTGTAAATAGATTTAATTATTAGTATCCAATTGTAAATTGCACTGTTTATTCACTTTTTAACTGCCAGAAGTGTTCATAAACTATTATTGTTATTATTATCCGCAAAAAGGAAACACTTTTATTGAAATGAATACCACCACTTAATTTTGACATACGTATTTAAGTATGTATATATTAAAGCGTAGAAAAAAGCATTAATTATTTTAACAGGGAAATAGCATTTCATTTATCAATATTTTCGTGTAAACAGAACAAATCATATCTGAACACTTTTTATTTGAAGAACATCTTTACAATGCTCAAAGTTTTCATTCTTGTTTCGGGGAAAACTTTTTTTTGTCTTGCCGAGCTTTGCCTCATGAACAAAGCTAATTTTTCCACTGAGGGGGTCTTACCTTGTTCTGCGTCCGAGAATAGACAGAAGTCATGCGTCCCTGATTCTTTTTGCTGGCTTATGAAAACAGCTTTCCATCGGTAATTCGTTTCCCTTTCTTTAAAGAAGTTTGTAATCTGTTCCCTCCTCTCAAGATGGAAGGAAATGCCCGCCTTTTAGAGTGAACAATCAATTCATATTTACAAGTAATAAAAGCAAGCACTCAAAAATTAACACTCGATCTTTCCAGAAAACCGATAATCTTTAACATAACTCGAATAAACTTGCTTCAAGTCCTTCTCGAGAGAGTTAGCAAAATATCGTGAGGATGTAAAAGGGGATGCAGGGGCGGATCCAGAAGATTCAGAGAGGGATGGCCGGGATACTTGTCAGCTATATAGATACTTTTTATTTTTCGGAGAATTTTATTTAAATCATACAAAATTTCAAAGAAAAAGTGGTCGCCACGTTCCCCTAGGCCAGCAACTAAATCTGCCTTTGGAAGTAGATGGCTGCTGTTCTTCACTTTTATTTTCAATTTTGGCAAGAGCGTCCTTTAAAACAGACACCACCTCCGTCACCTTTTTCGCCGTATTGTTTTGGCCTGTGTGAGCCTGATGCAACGAAGGCGGAAAAAGTTGTCTTATCGGTGTCTTGCATGTAGCGCAGTCGACGAAACGAAGAACCGAAGACGCATGGACATGAAAGTGACGCAACGACAAAACAAGCCCACTGCGACGCCTCGAGGAAAAGGATATGATGAAAGAAAAATTTCATGACACGAAGTAAGGCCAGCGGTGCCCCGAAGAAAAGAGTACGATGAAAAGAAAGAGGGACACAAAGCCTAGAAGAAAACAGACAATAACTCGAAGAACAGTTGTCGAAGCGAAGAAGTGTTTGCGTGCCCATGGAATGTGAGTATCGATTTTGTCCCCGATCTGACGCCGCCATAGGGAGTGTGCACAGGTGTGTGCCGCGTGGTTATTAAAGCATGACCATATCAAAGAGGATAGAATTGACAACCGTTTTCACATGGTTATATTTGATCGTTTCAGGAGCCGATAATCGGCTCCTGGTTATTCTCTTTTCTTTTCATGGGGGACCGACAAGAACACAATTCTCGAGGAGCCCTAACTTAAAAGTTTTATTACTTCGTTGAGAAGTATATAGTTAAGATTCTTTTAAAGCGGCTCATGATGAAGTATATAATTTTAGGCACCCTAGCAAAAAACCACAACACCAAAAAGGATACACTTTTTAAGGACTGTGCACCTAAAAGACCAAACTCTATCCTGCGGCACATATCCTTATACAGCTTAAATATGAGATTGCCCCACAAAAACAAGCATACAAACAAACAAAACCCTGGCGTCCTCAAAGCATATTATGCCTTCCGCGCGTTTGCTTCAAGCACTGTTTATACCTTTTAGTTGTTT